ACCCACACACACACACACACACACACACACACACACACACACACACACACACACACACACACACACACACACACACACACACACACACACACACACACACAGTGGCAATATTTCTGACTGCATGAATAAATACTATATTTGTCATGTTGGTCACTGGTTTAAGTCCAGCCATTTTGCTTTAAAAATGTGCATGTGTGTATTTCAACTGTAAAAATGTTTATAACAAAACCGAGCGAAAACCGAATTTCCCCTTGTGGGATGATAAACTATGTCTACTTTATGATAAATAACGTCTATACTGAGTCATTTGAGAAACGATCCAGTGTTCCATACATTTGGGAATGCAGGAAAATCTTGAATATTATTAGTGTTCTTGTTCTAATACGGCCTGTGTTTTCTTGCCTTGCAGCTGGGTGGTGCTATGGCTCCGGCCATAAAGGAGCTGTCCAGGTGGCTGGATGCCAACTCAGAGTACTATGTAGCTCCAGACTGGGCTGACGTGGTCAAACACTCTGTGAGTAGAATACACCGTGTTGTCAGTCATAAACATTCCTGCAGCAAAATCTATTGATTTTTTACATTTGTACCCTTTGTGGTTTTCCCATTTTTACTACTATTGTTGTTGTGGTTTAATGTTACTTTGGATTCCTAATCTCTATTTAATGAATTTACATTATGAAATACATTTAAATACATTTATTAAAAGCAAAGGTATAACATTTAAGTATAATACAAACAGTGTAGTGTGAGATATGAATAGTTATTTGATTTAATAAAAGGCAGCAGCAAATATAAAAGCTTTCAGTATTGATTTATTATGCTCTCTTAAAGGGGACCTATCATGCAAAATGCACTTTGTGATGTCTTTTATACATAAATATGTATCCTCTGTGCGTCGGGGAACTCACGCAGCGTCAGAAAATAAAACCCTGGGTGATCTGTTTGGTATTTTGAAAAAAAAACTTCACAGACATGTTTTGTATAGGTATGGCCCTACAATATATGTTTCCAATATAGCATGATAGGTTCACTTTAACCTGGCCTTTAAAAACAGGAAAGGACACGAGGGATGTTGAGAATCAAATTATTTATTTTAATTACATAAGCAAATTAATAAATATCTGCAAATATGAGGTGTGAGTCAGAAACATCAGTAATGTAGATGTGAGCTTTCTGTAGTGTATGGTGTTTTTTTGCACGAACCAAAGAGAAACAGGTAGCGGCTCTCAGAAGGGAGATCAGGGGGAACAGTTGGTGTTGCCTTCAGAGACAAAGGAAAAATAGTGATAAGCCAGAGCACAGTTCAGCAGTAAGACAGGGGCCTTCACAGTATGGATTCATTCTCCTGTCACACAGTCACTGTTATCTTCTTCCTCCATGACCCCCCCCCCTGCAGGGTTTCCTCCCTGAGGGTCAGTTCTCTCGGATCCTCACAGAGCCAGTCAACAGAGACTTGGGCTCTCGGCGTCGAGGGCGACGGCCTCGCAGCGAGATGCCCAAACCCCTCCTCTCCGTCTCTGACTCCGCCTCCTCTGCTCTCGGCCCCCCTCTCTACATGAATGGAGGGTTGATTGGCAGCATGGACTCCATGGTGGCCATGCAGAACCTCCGGGGGGGGATCTCAGGGATCCCCATCTCGGGCATCATGGCTGCTGGATTCCCTCACGGCTTCTCTGCAGCGGTGCAGGCTGGGGGGGCCGGGGGGTCGGCAGAAGACGCCAAGAATGGGTTGAGTATGTTACCCATGATGCTCCACGGCATCCCTCACCCCCATGGGGCTGGGATCCCTCAACACGCCTTGTTCAGTGTCGGCGCGATGATGGCGCGCACCCCTCACCCCAGCTCCTCCTCTTCCTCCTCGCTGTCCGCCGCAAAGGTCACCACGACAACCGCACCGTCTACATCGGAGGCGACCAGCCCCTCATCGACCACGCCTGCCGACAGAGAGAGCAGCGGCCCCTCCAGCTCAGGGGGAGAGAAGGAGAGGAGCCAGGAGGAGAGAGAAGCAGCCAACAAGAGAGCAGGGCTGGGGGAGACGGCGGCCATCATCACTTCCACCAGCAGGGCCCACATCGGAGCTGCCCACCTGGGGGGGGGCAGCCATCTCACCTTCAACCCCTTCCTGATCCCCGGCATGTCCCACGGCCTGCTTTACCCGCACATGTTCCTCCCCCATGGGGGCATCATGGCGCTGCCCGCCATGCCCCCCGGAGCGGGGGACGGCTCCCCCGGCAGCCCCAAGAGGAGGAGGAAGAGGGGGAGGGAGGAGGGGGAGAGGGAGGAGGAGAGGGAGAAGGCAGCGAAGGTAGAGGAGACAGAAAGTACAGTTAAGGCTAACGTCTCCTCCCCCCCAGCCTCCTCCTCTTCTCCATCCATCCCCTCTACCTCGGATCCAGACCCCACTGAACAGCCCCAGGAACCGGACTCCCATAACCCCCCCGAGGGAGCAGCAGCAGAGGGGAAGGAGGAGAGATCGGAGGACACAGCAGGAGAGGCAGCGGAGGAGGAGGAGCAGCGGGACCCTGAGGAGCAGAGACAGGGGGAGGAGGCGTAGAGGGGGAGAAACTGTCTCCTCCATGCCCAGCGACTGAGCAACAGTGTAAAGTTTGTGCCGTGTCTGTCAGTCAATGTCCATGTAAAGACTTTTATTATGATGATGACTAATGATGATGATTATATCCAACTTGGTTATGTTTATATACCAAGACCCCACCCACCCTCTCCACTCCCTCCTTGTATACAAAAAAGAACTGTGTAAGAAACCTCTGTGTATTCTTCCCCTTCATTCTGCATCGAGACTCGTCAGGACATTTCTCAACACACACCCACACACACACTGCAGGCAAGATGTGGTAACCAAGGAGCAGCTTTGGCAGTAATGATCCGGTTATAAGTAGAAGGTGGTGTGACGCAGAGTTTAGTTTGGTGTGTTTGCGCGGAGGTGGCTCTGTAAAGTGTAAGAATCTCTCACCACAGTTTGGGAATTAAGAGAAGCACTTGTGTATCTTTTTGTTTAAGGTCCAAACCTGACCCTGTCTTGTTATTTTCACTTCTGCCACAGTCCACTTAATACATTTTGGGGGATTATATCTGTGCAATGTTCAAAGACTAGATGAACCTGGAAGTGTGTCTTTGTGACACTGAAGAGTCTCAACCAGCATTCCCAGACACATGTGACACTAAAACACCTTTTCTTTTCAATACTAAAGGAACACTCTGATAAACCCCTTTATGCAAGAACTAATCTACCTAAAAAACAAAGTGTGGCCCAAAACCTTTTCAGAGTATAGCCCTTTTGAATATTTTCAATTATCGCAAGTGACCCAAAGAACAAAATGACATTTGGGAAAGCTGCCTAATTATAAAAAAAAACATTTGTTTCTGTTATGTTTAACTCAAATTTAGCTAATTGTGACTGTAATATTGTCAAAAAAGTCACAAAACCAGTGAGTTTAATATTACCCAGGCATGGATGTTGTATCTTTGTGTAAGATAGCATTATCAGCCAACCCCCCCTTCCCATTTGAAATACTGTCAGTCATATTTCTTTTTTGCTATTATCAATGCTATGGCGTTGCTGCTACAACTTCTTTTGAAAAAGGGGTTGAGAGAGAGTTCAATGTTCTTTACTCTTCACACTAATGTAATAATCCAGATTCCTAGAAGTGCAACAGATATTCATAACAAGAACTCCAACTTCTGCTTTTACTGATAAAAGCAGAGAACAATCATGAGATTATTCCTTTTTTAATTTCTTTTTAGATCATTTTATTATCTTAATTCTCAGACACAAGGTCACTTTGAGAGAACTGCCCATCAAGTGTGCAGGAACATGAAAGAAATGTCAAAGTGAAGAGCGGAGTCTGGCCACTAGGGAGCGGTAGGAGGTAGATTTTATTCTAAACTGCAAATGATTGAGAAATGAAGACATTTCTTGTTTTAAGCCCTGAGGCTGCTAACAGTATATATAGTCACAAATGGAGTGGATCCAAATCATTGACCGTGTGCTCATCAGGAATAGTGTAAAAATGACCTGTAGCAACTCACCTCTGTTTACTTCTTAATTCTGTGATCAGAAACATGTGATCTGTCGACCATCTGAGCATCGAAAGGGAATATCCAGTTTTACAGATAAAACAGGAAGAGGAAGGATACAAGAGGTGTGAATCGCCCTGGTTGAGAGCCTCTTCGTCTCGTTTCTTTTCCTCGGATTAGTTTCAATAGCAGTTCATCATAAGAGTTTCTGAATATGTAAATCTCTCGCTGTATATTGCAGGATTTTATTTTCTTTCTTTAAGTGCACCATTTATTTTTTCACCTTTGCTTTTGTTCCTCCATTTGGGAAAAAGAATACTTGACAGATGCAAGTGGGAGTTTTGCATTGAGGTTAGTCCTAGTGTTTTGGGTATCAAACAGACTGTACATTACATAGATGCAAGTCACTTGTTTTATTCAATCTTTTCAGAACAGGGTCTGCATTTTGGGGGTTATATGTCAAATATTTCCGTTTTATGATGTTGGACTTCACTTTGTTTTGTTTTCATACATGAAAACATTATTTTTGCACAATGTCTTTACGTGAATGTTAACCTGTACTGTCTTGTATTTCTTTTACGTGTGTGAGAGTGTGTGTGAGAGAGTGTGAGTCTGTGTGCATGCATGCGCACACCTGTCGTCGTGTTTCTACTTACAGGTCACATTTGTTGTCAAAAAAAAAAACATAGTTGTTGCCTTGTCACATGTTTGTGGCTACATATAATTTATTATATTTTTCTTTTTGCTTCGCCAAACTTTCACCAAATATGACATTCTTTTTTCTCTTAATTTCATTATGTATTATTCAAAGTAAACTGCCTTATTTAGCTAGTATTTTTTGTATTGATGTTCCGTTACATCTCCATATAGGGACATGTTATTGTGTTGTCTTCAGTTTGTCCTTCGCTTGTATGCGTACACGGCCTTTGGTGTTGTGCATTATCTTCAAAATCCAACAGTAATGCAATGCTACCACTGTCCAAATCACTACGTTAATTCCCAAAAATCAATCAGTCCTCCCTCAAAGCACAAATGGAGAGTTAACTAAATGTGTCTGTTTTCTTAGCAGTGCCTCTAAAATTACTCTAAATAGTTTCTCTTTTTGTGGTCTACACTTTATCATCCTCGGGAAAATGAGAACTCTTTCTTGGATTTCATTTGCAGATGATACCATGCTGTTCGTTAAACGGGAATTGTGGAATGTGAAAACATTTATTCATAAGATAATCATGGTGCATAAAAAATCGGACCGCACTAACACTAGGCTATGCTATCAGGGATGCTATGGATGTGCGTCAAGGAATTGTGGGAGGCCATTATCTCCTTTTCTTTTGTAAAGTACGGTCCGAAGCCCGTTACCTCAAAATGTAGATAATAGAGTGGTGTAGTAATGAGTCCTTAAAACCCGGGTTTATTTGTCTCAAAATCAATAATTTTGTGGACGTGATTTTGGCAAGATGCTTGAAAACGTTTTGTTCAACAACATAAAATACGTGAGTAAACACTCCACTCCTGAATGTCCCAAGCTTCGATGTGTCATTAGAATGGCGGTTGCTAACAAGACACTAAATAAACGACAAAACGTCATCACACCGAAGATTAGCCGCCTTTAGCTTAGCAGTGGTGATGTACAGACCTTGGTGTAGTTTGTTTATCGTCTTACGTTAGCTTTTTATTTCTGCAGATTTCATTTACGCTTCAAAAAACACAAATTGGTGTTGATCTGTGGAAACAATCCTGTTGAAAAAAACAGCTTCAATATAATAAACGTGCGTTGGCAAGAAAGCTCTTTTTGGAAATGGAAAAATCCCATTGCTTTTTGTAGAGGGAGCCCTATTGGGATGCTAACTTCCGTGTCACGTACTAAAATCCATCATCACCACACCACTCTATTCTACCAGCTATAACCATGGCTGCTACTTACTGTACTGTAGATTGTTCCGGATCTTTTCGAACAGTAATCTAATACAAGAATACTTTTTGAGCGCAACCTGTGACATTGTTCTCTTGAAATTTCAAAAACTGTACAGAGTTAGTTCTCCCCCTCTGGTGAACAATATTATTACCAGTTGATTGGTAACAACAACATTCTGTAATTTCCCTTTAACGAAGGCTATTTAATCCCATAGCGTTCTCTCACTGCACGAGGCCTTCTGTTTGGCATCCAGCATGTCTAGGATGGTATTGCACACACAGTACATATCCAGTTTTTGATTGTTCTGTGTTTGTCCAGATTCTTTGGGAAAAAGCATCAGAAGAGGAAACAATTGGTTACTTATGACACCTAAAGTATCTTAACTTTAAAAGCCGCAGCCCATGTATGCACATCATTTCCTGTTACTCACATGTCCTCGTGTGAAAACCTGAAGCAAAGGTATGTGACAGCAGGTGGAGGTCGATAGATGGCTCTGTATTGTCTGTTCATGTCACACCATGCCTTCTTTAACAGTGTTCTATCTTTTCATTGAAATCCTTTTACTCCTTCAGAACCTCAAAATGTTTTTTATCTCTTATCATGAGTAATGTATTTATTGTATAGTTACTGTCTTTACATTGTTGTCTCATGACTGAATAATGGCTGGTTTTGTTTCTCTTGAACGTCCCCTTTAAAAAAAACTTTTGGTTCACATGGAAAATTCCTCTGCTTTGCTTTGTAGCCCTGGCCACCTGCTTTTAAATGCAATGACTCCGTAAAAATACCTAATATCAAAATCGCGGAACTAAGCGAAATAATAATCCGTTGGTCCAAAATTATAAAATGACCACGTGACTGCATTTCAAGAACAAATGACTGAACCATCAGCTTCAGAAACTATACCTGAACAAGAAAGCAAGCTTAGATAAAAGAAAAAATCCTTTTTATTTACGCTGTATTAAAAATAAAAATAAAACTGGATTGTTAATCATGTAGTTTTAGTTTCAGAGTCGTCAATTTGGTAAAACATATTTACAACATCCATACAAACGAAATGAGAGGACAGATGCTGGGTTGCGTGGCCTGATGTGTTTCATTTCCTTTTCATCAGATCTAAAAAGTGTGTCCTTTAAAAATGAGGATCCTGGGGAAATATTTCATGACCATGTCGTCTTTGGCTGTTGCTCAACTGGGACCCAAACATTCATTTGCAAATGACATGATCATGAAAAGAATAATGTGAATGTAGCCAGGTCATGTGAGGGGGGAATCCAAACACACTCCATAAAGCTCAACAAAAAAAAAAGAAAGTCCTTTATGTTCGGTCTTATTCATTACAGGCTGGTTTCACAGATACTAAACAACTTTCTTAAAAGCAGAAGTGAAAACATAACAGTCACAGCTTCTGGATTTATCCCACTCATGTTGTAGTTTTAGACTACACTAAACTGTAAATCCCTCTAAAGAAATAAATAAAAGCGTGACAAAGGGGCTGCCTAAATAAATTAATAGGTTCATAAAAATGAAATCAAATCAAACTACTATGACTCTTTTTTTGCATCCATCCTTTTAGGACAGATTATTTTTCTGAGGCATGCTCAAAAGAACCAAACACTTAAAAAACAGATCTTTGTGAATGAAAGCCAGAAGTATAAATGTGCAGGTTCAGACAGTTGATCAGAAAGGCAAATGAATGAGAACTTTACCTCCACCTCCCAACTCATGTCTGTGAAGCCACCCAGCTCAATGTAACAAACAAAGGACGAGTTGAAAAATTTGACTTTTCACAGCTCCTGTACTCACGTCATGGAACCAAGTGCAATGCAATCCACACGGATGTTGTTCTTAAAACGGAAGAAAAGACAAATACTGGCTGCTCCTGGAGTCAGGCCGTTACTGAGTAAGTTGTACGGTGGGGTTTTTATCTAGTTTCTTTCTTTTATTTTCTTATTTGTAACTATAGCTCTCTGTATTCCCATGTGGACCAATCTCATGAGTCAAAACATGGTAATTGTGATCTTTTATCGTGCAATAAAAGATGACTTTCAACTTTCTCTTGTCTTTGGTGTACTTCATTAATCACTTCTGCTGAATTCTGAATTTCATTGTTTTGAAACTCTGAAGTGGTCTGCAGCTCGTTCAGTGCGCTGCTCTCACATTGCATGATGGGAATGACTTCAGCGGTCCCAACCCAGTCTCACAAAAAAACGTGTAATAACTACGTTGGTCCACAACGTAGGACCAGCGCCATATAGATAGAAGGGTTACGACAGCGGAAGTCCAAAAACGGTTATCGTCACGTGGTTCATGCAGACGAGGATCGTTCCCCGGAAGTTCATGGCGGGCAATGTGAATGCATTGATAACAGGAGATAGAACTACGATTCTTGGTAATTATTAGTGAATAAAGGTTTTGATTTGCAATATTTATACAACAAATCGATATGTGTATGTATTTACATCAATATGTTTTAAAAAATAAAATAGAATTTGCTAATAGAGTGATAATATTAGGATTAGTGTGAACAACTAGTTTACATGTTAGGCTAACAGTGCCTTGGTTAAAGAGCCTGTTGCTGTTTATTTATAGCTTTGAATTCTTTAAAACCAATATTATCTTAAACTTGTATGGTAGTTAGGAGCATCATTTTCTAAAGTTTATTGATATATTTAGAGGGAGGGGATCTAAAGGAATGCTTCAAAATTCAGATTAGATTATTTTCTACCATTTTCTTAAATTCATGGTAGTTTCAGTAATCCCATGGTAATTGAGGACACAATTTATCTAAATGACTAATGTTATCTTTATGGCTTTCAGAAAGGACAGGTGACTATCAAAGTGACTATCATTAGCAGCAGCAGCAGCAGCATGATGATGATGATGTTAAATGTGTTGTTTTAGGAACATCCATTGCAAATACATGGAATTCAATAAACATTGAATAGCATATCATGCAGTTTGTCTGTG